CTCTCTCTCTCTCTCTCTCTCTCTCTCTCTCTCTCTCTCTCTCTCTCTCTCTCTCTCTCTCTCTCACCCATGAACATAATAGCATAGGTTTGCTCTGACAGATTCAGATACACTAATTGTTTTAGTTCCGGAAGTCATGCGAGATTGTAAAGGCCGTCGTGCAGGAAATCTGAGGCCATACTTATATTATTGGAACATACCTTGACATATAACTATTTCCCGAGGGTTCAAGGCTCACGTGGTGTGGGTATCAGACTAACGAGTCTCAATAAACTTCGTGGGTGAAATTCGTGAGTTCTTTAAAAATATAGATGTGTTTGACATCTTCATCGACACAATATCGGTGGTATAGGAGGCGGACTTCGACCATGCCTGGCAGGACCAACACGGATTGAGAGGGGATACAACAGCCTGGCAGAAAGACTGAGATACTCTATAAAATTTCTCTCCAATGGAGAATTAAAATGGGTCTTCTTATTGCGAGGGCGAAGTGCCTAACAGCTACATCACAGACACCGGTTGATATGGGATGGCTAATAACCTTTCATCATCACTACCTTTCTCACCTTGCATCAGGGTAGCCTACAGGTCACGGACAAACACTTTCCGCCTTTCCCTATCAAGGGATAGATTTTTGGCATTATTCCACGTCTTCCTACTTTTCTGTACTTCATTCTCTGTGCTTTTCTCCAAGTTCCAAGTGTGCTTTCCTTTGATCTATTACCCTATGGATTCCATTCCAACACTTTCTTTGTTATGCAGCTTCCTGGCTTCCTAAGGGTGTGTCCACCGCCACCGCCTTCTTCACATTTCCTCTCCGACTGGGCTCGGTCTTGTTCTCCTCAATACTTCCTCGTTGGTGGCCCTATCTGTCCATCTGATACTGAGTAGACTTTAAGACATACATTCAAGAAAACCTGGATCCTCTTTATCAAACTCAGAGATGTGTTTCATGACTCACATCCACACAACAAAACTGACTTCACACTTAAGTTCAATATCCACAGCTTTGTTCCAAGCGAGATATCCTTGGTCCTCCAAATCCTATTCAAGAATAACGAATGAAAGGCTGGAAAGGAGAACATGATGTCAAACAGGCAGACGTAGACAATGGTACTTTACTAGAGTGCGAAAAATGAGCCCGTTGCAACACTGTTTTTTAAAAACCCTATCCGTAAATCCTGGGGTCATTTTGTACCCCCGGGGTTGTATTCTTCACATGTTAGAATACTTCTAGAGCGAAGTTCTCTTTGAAACTTCCAGTATTTCTCATAAAATCATTTTGACAGACTGCTATGCAAAGCGTACGGATCGGATTAACGAGTAAATTACCTCTTTGAAAGTGGTGGCACAGAGTTCCCCACCTTGTATGGATACGATAGTAAAACACGACGTACAGATAGGGTTAAAGGGGCGGTATTTCCGAATTTAACCTCTGTCCGAGCCAAAGAGTAAAATCCGAGTAAAGTGCCATTTCCAAGGCCAAGGAAACGAAGTGGACGGAGCTGAGCCTCGAATCCCTGCAGTCACAACACAATCTCACCATTACCAAATCTTACAATTACCAGCAGTTCAGTAGCCTAACTGCTAGACTACCGACGCCACCTTATAATAGTATGCAGGTAGATAGAGGGACACACATCGACACACACACACTCACACACACATACACAAACACACGTGCAGAGAGAGAGAGAGAGAGAGAGAGAG